CCCCAAAACCCCAAAACCCCAAAACCCCAAAACCCCAAAACCCCAAATTCATGAATATTAAGGTGTTATGACTTTGTATTGGAGTTGTGAAGTAATACTATCTATTCTGAGAAATATGGGATGTTCAATAGTATCGCTAAATTTCTCAGAATGGTAAGAATCTTTTACCAAAACTCTTGTCTTGGCAAGAAACATCGAAAATATTTAGGATTCCGAGCTGATCATCTGAGATTTCAGGACTCAGATTAGGATCTGACATTTACCTAAGTCTGTAAACTATATAAAGAATCTCAAATTCATTTTATTAAAGATTAATTAAAAATGGATGACGTAAACTGACAAAACGGAGACAATCAACCCAAAAAGTCAAGGAATTTGATGGCGTATTTGAGCCTCTTCTTTACCAAATTATTCAGAGAAAAAGCTGAGCAATGTCAGCATAAGGACGACTGCCCTAAGAATGCTGTAAAGGGATTTATCAAGAATTTCGTAATTGCGTATTGAATAAAAATCGGAGGTCAAGTCTTGATGATGTCGGTGAAGAGGAAATATGATGTCAATAAGATCCTACAGAATATGGTCTCAAAGGATTGACTCAGCTTCGCTATGTTCTTGGCTAGTGTTGCTGCTTTATATAAATCGTCACTTTGCCTGACAAGACGATTTAATAGGACTCATGATAAGTACAACGCGGCAATTGCAGGAGCAATTAGTTCTTTCGCCTGATTAGCTGACAAGAATGTATCAAGGAGGCAAGCAATAGTCTTTTATTTATCATCAAGAGTCCTCGAAAGCTTTTTTAAACTCATGGATAACCACCACGTCATGGCTGAGCCAAAAGAGTGGGGATTCTATGTAATGGCAGTTGGAGCTGGCCTCTTCGGATACCAAGTATGGTGAGAAAGAGATACTGCTCTCAAGAGTGCATTGAAGACTATGGATAAGTTTGCAGCCTTGAAGAAGAACGACATAGGCTATATGCAAATCTTGCATAAGGTTTCATACTAATATATTATCATATTTGGACGACTCTGTCATGCTTTTGGGAAATAGACTAATGGTATTTAGGTTACATTCAAACGTTAGTTTACGATTAGGGGTTTTGGGGTTTTGGGGTTTTGGGGTTTTGGGGTTTTGGGGTTTTGGGGTTTTGGGG